GCGCAATGCATGTCTGTCCTGGGATAACCGACCCCACCTGATTACAATGCCCCCCCCCCCGGACTGCAAGGGCCCCCTCCCTGTTTACAAGGCCCCCCCCCCCGGACTACAGGCCCCCCCCTCGGACAGCGAGGCCCCCCTCCCTCCGACTAGAAGGGTCCATCCATGCAGATCAATGACCCCCCCCGGGAAAACGCAACGTTCCCCGGATTGCAAGGCGCCCCCCCGGACTACAAGGGCGCGCCCCCTCCCGATTGCAAGGGCCCCTCCACATAGAGGACCAGCGCATCCTTTCCCTGGGCCCCTCCCCGGACTACAAGGGCAACGCCCCGGACCTCAAGGGCCCCCCCCCCTGGACTGCAAGGGTACCCCCCTCATAGTTCAATGCAATCACCCGGAGAGAATTGCCCCTCTCTGGATTACGGCCTATTTTCACCTATTTTTAAATTTTTCATACTTCTATTTGTATGAAAATGTATTTCTATCTTTTCTATAGTAATAGGAAAGTGTGTTTTCTATTTTTTCTATATTAATAGGAAACGTGATTTCATTTTTGTTCCTAATTAATAGGAATTAACTTGTTTCGCCTTGCCATTAGAATATTACGATTACAATGCCGAGCAAGTCGAATAACTTATGCTCAGTAGTTCCGCCAGAGGCACTCAGTGAAGAAGCAGAATGTGACCGACTGTTTCATAGGAAGATGATTGTTTCAGGCCTCGGGACAAATTAGCGAACACATGCCACATTCATCCGTCAACGCCTCCCCCTCCCCCAATGTTCAAAGTTGGCGGTGGGTCTGATGAGATGCACTTCGACCGCAGCCTCCCCCGCGCGTGCCAACGTTGAGTTTGGGGGGGAGGGGGAGTGTTCAGTAATTGTTTCCCTCTACCGTTGCCCATGTGACACATCGGCGCATGCGGTCGTTGGCCAACAGGTTTCAGATAAGACATTGACATCTAAGAAAGTCCCACAACGCATCGGCAGGGCTGTGTCCCATCCGCGCCCTGGGCAAAAATCCAAGCTCTACCAGGACAAAGCTACTACTACTACTACTACTAACTCACTAATACTACTACACTACTATCTAATGACCTGTTAGTACTACTTAATTCGACTACTTCTTTCTTCTTCTACTACTACTACTACTATTACTACTACGACTACTACTACTACTACTAATTACTAACTACTAACTACTAACTACTAACTACTAACTACTAACTACTACTACTACTACCACTACTACTACTACTACTACTACTACTACTGATACTACGACTATGGCTTTTAGTATTTCTACGACTACCACGACGACGACTATTACGACTATGACTACGACGACGACGACGACGACTACTACTACAAAAACTATTATACTACTACTACTACTACTACTACTACTACTACTACTACTACTACTACTACTACTACTACTACTACTACGACGACGACGACGACGACGACGACGACGACGACGACGACGACGACGACGACGACTACTACTACTACTACTACTACTACTACTAAAGGTGCGCTGAACAATCGCAACGCCAGTCACGCTCTTACACGTGCGCGCGCTGACCTTTGAGCGCGACCGCCAGGCCAACGCGCGACCGCGACAGGGGCGCGGCGCGGCATCAGAGGCACGAGCACGACGTTATACCTCATGGAAGAAGACTTAAACATACATGATACCCCCACTGAACTTCATTAGCCTCTTGGTGGAAATGCTTTTGGCGCGCGGTGCCCTCGCTTTCCGCGACGGCATATCGCCGCGTCGCGGCGTCATTGGGCGGCGACCCCGGGTGCTTCCCAGAAGCCTCTGGCCAGGGAAGAAAGAGAGAGAGAGAGAGAGAGAGAGACAGACAGACAGCAGAAAGAGAGAGAGAGAGAGACAGAGAGAGGGAAGAAGGAGAAAGAGAGAGAGAGAGAAGAAGAAGAAGAAAGAGAGAGAGAGCAGAAGAAGGAGAGAGAGAGAGAGGGAAGAAGGAGAGAGAGACAGAGAGAGAGAGAGGAGAAAGACAGAAAGAACAACAAAAGGCACAATCAGCTGGCAGCGAGGCGATCACTCAAGCGACGGCAGTCGCCAAAGCCAACGGAGCTCCGAGAGCCCAAGCATCGGCAGATCGAGCTCGCTCGCTCAAGCCGGGCGGTCGGATAGATCACCGCCGCCCCTTCGGTCGCCGAGGGGGACGGCGGCGGCAAGAACGGCCTCTATACGTTCACCAAGAACAAACTTGAAATTTGTAATGTTCCAACATGTTTTACTATCGGTGACGTTGTTCCCGCCATTGGCAGCCAATGTAACCGTGATGTTTGTCGCGACGTTGGCTGAGGAGGAACGTTGTGTTCCATGATCACGGGGCGCCTTCCTCTCACTGCTTCCTTTGGAAGCGGCGCTTTGCATAACATTATCATGTCGCCCTTCGCGTAAGTCTTCAGAACATGTTGTCATTTGCATTGCGCGCACGGGCCTCTTTGCCCGTCGCATTTTACATTATTGATGTCAGCAGTCTTAGTTCGTCATTGCTATCAGCAGGCGCTTATCTCTGTCTCCTAGGGAGCCATACCAGGTGGTTTCAGGATAGGCCTATATGTGTAGTGTCATCTTGCCGCCGTTTGGGGTCGGGTTCCGAAAGGCACGCGCGCCTTATATGTCCGGACACCCTGTGTTCGGCATTTGCGGGGAAATATTTCCATCTTCGATCCTACATTTGAATGTTGCATCCCATGCTTCTCAAACGATGCACTTTGAACGAGAAGGACGCGTTCGACTCCTAGAACGCTCTTAGAGGCCTTGAAACCGATCAAACGACGCACTTCCAACGAGAAGGACACGTTCGACTCTCTTGGTACGCTCTGGGAGGCCCTGAAAACCGCCTCGGAGAGGTCTGGTATCCTTGCCAGGGTATTTTTCGCAGCGGGGCCCCAGGGGGCGCCCCGAACGCGCGAAGTTGAAATATTGTTTACCTGTTACCAGATATCATAGCACGCCTCTGGCCCGTTGGGCCGGCGAATTCTGTCACAGTGTGTCTAAACGTTGGTATGGCAGCATTGAGGACGGCCATGGGAAATCTGTCAAGGCGGAGGCGTTTGGCAGGGTTTTTTTTTCCGATGTACCGCGCATTGCGTCGACAGTTGCGTTTTCAACGCAGAACAGACTACATCTTCGAGCATCAAAGTGAGTATTTCTCGTTATGCTATGCGTCATGTATTTCGCTCACTTTATCCCCGTTTCATCCTCACCCCCCTCTTCCCAGTCTCGTCGACCATCTCACCCGAGACACGTGCTGGCATACTGGATCGGAAGATTTTGAGTATACCACATCTTTGGATGCCCAGGTCAGCAGCAGGCCGAAAACGCGAACACGATGAAGTTGCCCTACAGTGGGGATGCAGCCATTGAACGTAACGCGATGTAGGTATGTATAAATATACAATACAGACGGTCATGAGCGCCTTGACGACAGTTAGACTATGAACATTCGCGGCGACAATGCCATTTATTTGTGGGCAACCCTGAGGAAGAGTAGTGGAGTAAGAGAAGCAGGAGACACGCCTCCCTGGCGCGCGTCGAGCTGAAGTGTTTTTTTCCTCTGTTCGACGTCCTCAGACGTTGCGCTTCCGCTGGGCCAAGTCAGCGCAGCGCAAAAGAGAGGCTCCCCTCTGGGGAGAACTCCCGCGCAGCAGCAGCCGCCGCAGCTCATGTTCGCCACCACCTTCCTGCCGAGGGGAGCGGCCGGGCAGCACTGGGTTGCCAACCTGGCCCCCGCGGGGGAGGACGCGCGCCTGGGGAAGAGGAGACAGGTGTCAAGCAGTGGCGAAGCGTCATGGCTCGCCTATAGCCCTACGAAACAGTGTTCTACGAACCTTTTGTGGCTTCCACGAAATGTTCTCAGAACATGTCTGATTGAGCTTGTCTTGGTTTAACACATCGGGTTAATGTTCTAAGAACATTGGCGTTGTTCTTCGAACGTTCTTTGAGTTCGAGCAACATGTCCTGGTAGGACTACAGGAATACCGGGACGGTCGGTCCCTGCTCAAAGGTGGAGATGGGAAGAGGCAGACGGGGGACGGGATGGGTGGATTGAAGGGGGGGTGAGCGTGTCTCAGTGCGGAGGCTATCGCGAGCACAAATGCACACAGGCCTGAATGTGGCGTGCCACCTGCGTGGGGCTGAAAGATGGGGGGGGAGCAGGTTTTCCTCCTCTCCTCCCCCTCCTCCTCCTCCTCCTCCTCCTCCTCCTCCTCCCCCTCCTCCTCCTCCTCCTCCTCCTCCTCCTCCTCCTCCTCCTCCTCCTCCTCCTCCTCCTTCACGTCCCTTGAGTGGGGAGGGAACGGCGGGGGGGGGCGAGAGGAGGGGAGGGAGGAGGGGAGGGAGGAGGGAGGCTTCGGCCCGGACCTGATGGTCCAAGGGCGTCGGGGGGGAAGAAGGACAGGGGCGGGAGGGTTGAGAAGGAGGCCCTGCCACCCAGGAGCCTGTCGAACCCGCTCCCCAGGGCCAGGGCCCTCCCAGACAGATGCGGCTCGAGAAGTCCCGCAGAGGGGCGGGGCCGCGAGGTGTGGTCGCGACTGCGCGTGGCCACCGATCTTGGACAGACAGCGGCTAATCACCTGGCATCGCTCGGACGTGTGCATTTTGCCTTCGGCGAGGACCATCGAGGAGCATCCTTGATCATTTGGCGAAAAAACCATACGAAACCGAAAGCAACACAGGGAGTGGACGTCCGAGCGATGGCCAGATCATGTCGACGGCCTCGCAGGCAGGGCCCAAAGGCCTCGACCCCGCGGATGCGGAGGGTTTCCTCGCGGATGCCCCGCGTGGGGCGCCTTTCTGCGACCGCGGGTCCACGGGAGCGCGCCCGGGGATCCAGGCCGCGAGGGCGCGGATGCGGCAGACTTGGCAGCGCTCGGACGTGTGCATTTTTTCCTTCGGCGAGGACCATCGAGGAGCATCCTTGATCATTTGGCGAAGAAGCCACGCACGAGACCGACAAAAAAGCACAGGTAACGGACGTCCGAGCGATGGCGAGTAGAGGGAAACAAGGAGTGGACACTCCCCCTCTCCCGAAAGTTCAAGGTTGGACCGCGCGGGGGCGACTGCGGTCGAAGTGCGACTCAGAAACCCACCGCCAGCTTTGACCATCGCGGGGGGAGCATCAACAGATGCCTGCGGCACAAGTGTCGGCTTATGATGCTCCAACCAACTTTAGCCTTGATCACTGGACAGAATTTCGAGCACCAAACAAGTACAGAAATTCTAGGGTTTTCACGCGTCGGGCTCTGGGAGACACCAGCCCGACACAATTTTCGACACTCTTTCGACGCTTCTCCGGGCGCTCGAACTTGCTTCTGGGATATGGTCCTCAAGCAGGATGGGGGCAACATACCCCAGATTTCGTAATAAAAGGGAGGGGGTCCCAACCCTCCCTCCCAGACGAGAAATTTTAGAGCCCCCCAGACCATCCATGAAAGGGCGGCCCTTTGCCCAGACCCCCCCAACCCTCCAAGACAGCTCAAATCAGACCCCCCCCCAAATGTGACCCCCCCGCCTTTATTATGGAATACGGAGTAAGGACCACATCCCAAAAGCAATGTCTGGGAGGGTTGGGAGGGTTGGGACCCCCTCCCTTTTATTACGAAATCTGGAGTAAGCAGGATGGGGGCAGCATAAGTGTCGGCGAAGTGTTTTTGGCTCGGGGGGGCCTCCTCTGTGCCAGCAGCCGCAGCCGGCGCATGGCGCGCGACGGACCCGAGGGTTGCACGCCTCGCCTCCTCCGGAGGGCCGCGGGCAGGGCGCCGCCCTCGGGGCCCCGCGCCACTGGGGGGGCGGGGAGGCCTGACATCGGCCACGGATGAGAGCGACCCGTTACCAGAGTGGCCTTTGGTGCGGGCCCTCATCGCAGTGACCCTTCGCTGCATCCAGGTTTTCGGATGTTTTCGTCGGTTCTCATAGGTTTTCCAGCCTCGGGGTGCGTGCCAGCAGGGGGGGGGGGGGCAGCAAGGGCTGAACATCGACAGGGGCGCCCCCTCGAGGGCGCGACGTCGGTCGCGCGTCGCGCCGCGCGGTTCGGCTCCGAATGCCGCCTCGTCCTCCTCCCTCTCCTGCGGGAGGCGGCGCGGGAGCGCGAAGCTATTCGCACTTCGCGCTCTCGCGCAGCGCGGAGCGCGAAGCTGGGAGCCCTTGCCTCAAGGGGGCCCCGTCGGGCCCGAGAGAGAGGGCCTCGAGGGCCCGAGAGGTGCACCTTTTCTCCCGACCCCACGTAACCCTGCACGGAGGAGATGGGCACGGAAAGAGTGGGCACCATGCCCAGCAGCGGATCTGGTTCGTTTTGGCCAGGACTCGCCGTCCACGCCGCCGCGGCCTGTGTCCATTCGAGACAGGAGGCCGCCTGCCCAAGAGCGGCCGCTGCTGGTTTGGGGCAACATGTGTTGTTGGGCATTGTGCCCATTCTTTCCGTACCCATTTCGGGCGTCCAACATGTACAGTCGAGGCCCATGCCAAGCAACATCCTGTTTTGTTCCAGGTTGCCCTGGGTTTCTTGGGTTTCCATGGTTTTGCAGTGGACAGCGTGGCGTCCCCACACCACAAATACATGGACGTCCTGGGGGGTCCACAGGGTTCGGCTTCTTGTGGAAGGTTCCTTGTAGCCGAGCCTTTATTCCATCGCCCCCCCATTACAGTCGGGCCGCTGAAGTAAGAACCCTCTTGCTGGGGAGGGGCTCCGTACTCCTCAATTGGTCTTGCAGCTTGTCTTAGGCCTTCTTGAGGCTTCTATGGGAGATCGAAGTTCAACTTATGGAAAAAAGGGCCCTCGTTCCTTATTTAGGGTACCCTTGTGTCCTGTGTCTCGCGACCCGTGCCTCCTGCATTCCTATGACAATGTGGCCCTCGGAAGGGTCTTTTGTCATCTCGCGTGTCCTGTTCAATGAAGTCCGAGCTTCGAAGTTCAATTTGTAGAAAAATTGGCCCTCGTTCCTTACTTAGGGCTCCTTACTTAGGGTTCCTTATGTAGGGTTCCTTATTTAGGGTTCCTTATTTAGGGTTCCTTATTTAGGGTTCCTGATTTAGGGTTCCTCGTTTTTTCTTTCTGGAAAAAAGGGCCCTCGTTCCTCATTTTGGGGCTCCCTCGTCCCTTCTTCAGGGTTCCTTATTTAGGGTTCCATTTCTAGGGTTCCTTATTTAGGGATCCTCGTTCTTTACTTATAGAAAAAAGAGCCCTCGTTCAGCGGCCCGACTGCAAGCGCCTCCCGCCGCCTCTGCGCGCCCACGGGCGCGCGGCCGCAGGACGCGCTCGGGCGCGCCCGCTTCGCGCTCGAGGGGTGCCCGGAGGACCTGCACCTCGTCCGCGCCGGCTCGCGGGACGCCGCCGCCCCTCGCGAAGGTCCGGACGCCCGAGATGGGCACGGAAAGAATGGGTACGATGCCCAACAGCAGTTCTTGTTCATTCTGAACAGGATTCGCTGTCCACGCCGCCGCGGCCTGTGTCCATTCGAGACAGAAGGCCGCCTGCCCAACAGCGGCCGCTGTTGGTTTGGGACAACATGTGTTGTTGGGCATCGTACCCATTTTTTAGGTACCCATGTCGGGCGTCCAAAGCAAAGGTCGGGGGTGGACAGACCTCCTACCATGACACGTCGATTAGCGAATTGGCCGTTTTCGGTTCGCGAGAGGGCGTCGCGGCGTCTTTCTTGCGGGTCCAGGTCCGTCGGCTTCGGTCCCAGGCCGTTTTCACTAAGGGGAGGTCTACTAAAGGGAGGTTTGTCCACCGCCGAGAAGGGGGTGCCGCCGCCGCCCTCGCGAAGTCTTGGCATCGCTCGGACGTGTGCGTCTCTTTCTCGGCGAGGACCTTCGAGGAGCATCCTCGACCATCGGGCGAAAGAAACACGCGCGAAACCGAAAAAAAACACACAGGGAAGGGACGTCCGAGCGATGACCAGGAAGGGGTCGCCCCGCCTCGTCCTTCCGCGGAGTCGGGCCCGTCCTCCGACAGGGGGAATTCTGTCCTCCGAGGGCGCCGGCTCGAGGGACGCCGCCGCCCTCGCGAACCTGGGCGCCCGAAATGGGCACGGAAGAAAATGGGTACTCCAGATTTCGTAATAAAAGGGAGGGGGTCTCAACCCTCCCAGACGAGAAGTTTTAGACCCCCCCCGTGGGAGAACCCTCCCTAACATCGTCCCCAGACCCCCCCAGGCCCTCCAAGATGGCCTGGAAGAGACCCCCCCGAAATGAGACCCCCCTCCCTTTATTACAAAATCTGGAGTGCAATGCCCAGCAACAAATGTTGTCCCAAACCAACAGCGGCCGCTGTTGGGCAGGCGGCCCTCTGTCTCAAGTGGGCAGGCCGCGGCGGCGTGGACGGCGAATCCTGTTCAAAATGGACAGGAGCTGCTGCTGGTCAGTGTGCCCATTCTTTCCGTGCCCACGTCGGGCGTCCAAAGCGAAGGGGGGGCCCCCGCCTCGTCCTTCCGCAGAGCCGGGCCTGTCCTCCGACAGGGGGATTCTGGACGAAACATTGTAAACATTGTCCAAACAAGACCCCAAAACCATACAAAAATGCAAAAAAAAAAAAAAAAAAAATCCTGGCGAAGGACCCAACCAGATGCAGCTGCGAGTACCGCAATTGTGAGTATCTTCTTCGATGGCGCTGTAGGGGTGTGCGGAAATCTGTGCGGTGGCCACGAAACGTGTGAGGGGTGCCGAAATCTGTGCGGTGGGCGCATGGGAGCGCAGCCACTGGGGCCTTCGCTGGAGCTCCCTATGGGGCCACGAAACGTATATGAGGGGTGTGCCGAAATGGGTGCGGTGGGCGCATGGGAGCGCAGCCACTGGGGCCTTCGCTGGAGCTCCCTATGGGGCCACGAAACGTGTGAGGGGTGTGCCGAAATGGGTGCGGTGGGCGCATGGGAGCGCAGCCGCTGGGGCCTTCGCTGGAGCTCCCTATGGGGCCACGAAACGTGTGAGGGGTGTGCCGAAATGGGTGCGGTGGGCGCATGGGAGCGCAGCCACTGGGGCCTTCGCTGGAGCTCCCTATGGGGCCACGAAGCGTGTGAGGGGTGTTCAATGGGTGCGGTGGCGCATGCGAACGCAGCCACTGGGGCCTTCGGTGGAGCTGCCTATGGGGCCACGAACGTGTGAGGGGTGTGCCGACATGGGTGTTGGGGAGGCATGCGAACGCAGCCACTGGGGCCTTCGGTGGAGCTCCCTATGGGGCCACGAAACGTGTGAGGGTGTGCCGAAATGGGTGCGGCGCCGTGCGAGCGCAGCCACTGGGCCTTCGGTGGAGCTCCCTATGGGGCCACGAAAGCGTGTGAGGGGTGTGCCGAAATGGGTGCGGTGGGCGCATGGGAGCGCAGCCACTGGGGCCTTCGCTGGAGCTCCCTATGGGGCCACGAAGCGTGTGAGGGGTGTGCCGAAATGGGTGCGGTGGGCGCATGGGAGCGCAGCCACTGGGGCCTTCGCTGGAGCTCCCTATGGGGCCACGAAGCGTGTGAGGGGTGTGCCGAAATGGGTGCGGTGGGCGCATGCGAGCGCAGCCACTGGGGCCTTCGGTGGAGCTCCCTATGGGGCCACGAAACGTGTGAGGGGTGTGCCGAAGTGGGTGCGGTGGGCGCATGGGAGCGCAGCCACTGGGGCCTTCGCTGGAGCTCCCTATGGGGCCACGAAACGTGTGAGGGGTGTGCAGAAATGGGTGCGGTGGGCGCATGGGAGCGCAGCCACTGGGGCCTTCGCTGGAGCTCCCTATGGGGCCACGAAACGTGTGAGGGGTGTGCAGAAATGGGTGCGGTGGGCGCATGGGAGCGCAGCCACTGGGGCCTTCGGTGGAGCTCCCTATGGGGCCACGAAACGTGTGAGGGGTGTGCCGAAATCTGTGCGGTGGGCGCATGGGAGCGCAGCCACTGGGGCCTTCGCTGGAGCTCCCTATGGGGCCACGAAACGTGTGAGGGGTGTGCCGAAATGGGTGCGGTGGGCGCATGGGAGCGCAGCCACATGATGATGATGATGATGATGATGATGATGATGATGATGATGATGATGATGATGATGATGATGATGATGATGATGATGATGATGATGATGATGATGATGATGATGGCAGGAGGGAGGGGGCAGCGGGAGGAGGAGGAGTGAACGCGGGGCGCTGTCTCTTCAAAACGAGGACCCAACACCACAGGATGGTTGGGAAAAACGTCCCCATATGATGTTTGGACTATTTGTGTATATTCCCCCTGTAGAGGGACAGGCCCGCCTCAATCCTTCCACAGAGTCGGAGTATGCCCGAGACTTCTGCCGGCGTGTCGTTCTGCCGGCTCTTCGAACACACGCCAGAGCCGATCTGCCGGCGACGCATCGCCGATTCCAGGCCGAAGTTCCCCCCCCCCTTGAGTCAGCGGCGCCGACTGCAGCAGGCTCCTCGCCGCAGCCCGCCTCGCGCAGAGGGGGAGCAGCACCCCGCCCCCACACGCAGGAGCAGGCGCAGGCGGAAGAGAGGCCAGAAGGCCACCGACGCCAGGCTCCGACCAGGCCGCACAGAAGCGAAACGGGTCGGCACCAGCGAGGGCCATTGCGGGCTCAGCGGGGGGGCTCGGAGGGGGGGGGGGAGCCCTGGTCTTCGGGCCGCTCCTTACGGAGGAAGCCCACGCCCGATTCAGGAACAACGTTTAGGCTCAGGGGAGACAGCATAGCCGTCCACTCGCCCATCCAGCGCCGATAGGGGCCCGATAGCCCACCCCTGCCCCTGCGAGGACCGTGCGGTGTCGCTATTGAGGGCCTATCGCCGATCGATTGCCGATTCCAGGTCGAAGTTACCCCCCCCCTTGAGCCAGCGGCGCCGACTGCAGCAGGCTCCTCGCCGCAGCCCGCCTCGCGCAGGGAGGGAGCAGCCCCGCCCCCACACGCGGGAGCAGGCGCAGGCGGAAGAGAGGCCAGAAGGCCGCCGCCAGGCTCCGGAGGGCACAGCGTCCGGGCCGCACAGACACGGAACGGGCCGGCACGAGCGAGGGCCACTGCGGGCTCAGCGGGGGGGCTCGGGAGGGGGGGTGCGCTGATCCCGTTGCGGAGGAAGCCCACGCCGAGAGGCACCCTGCTGGCCTCGAGGGGGTGCCCTGGGCTTCCTGGGCTCCGAGGGCTCCGCAGCGGAGGGAGAGCGTGGCGCTCCCACGCCAAATCTCTCCATGGCCGGCCTCGGGCTCCAGGGCTGGGCTTCCTGGGGAAGGCCTCGTGTGTGCGAGCTCCCACTCAGCCACGCGCAGAGGGGGGTGGGGGGAGGGGGGAGGGCTTCCTAGAGGCACCCCTGCTTCTTAGTTAGGAGGCGCGGGCCTGCTCTACAGATGTGTAGGGCCGGCGCCTTCTAAGAAGCGGCCTCCTAAGAAGCCCCCCCCCCACCCCCCACCCCCTTGTGCGCGCCGCCAACCTACTGCACACGTGAGAGGGGCCCTCCGCAGGAGCGACCGCTGCTGCGGGCCCACTGGCGTCCCCCGCGATCGCCGAGCGCGAGGCGCGGCAGCGGCGCCTCGCGCGCCTGTGTTTGTGGCCCCGCCCGCGGCCCCCCAAAGAGGCGCGCACCAAGGGTCACTCTAACCCAGGGCCTTGGCTTCGCTCGGACGTGTGCATTTTTCCTTCGGCGAGGACCATCGAGGAGCATCCTTGATCATTTGGCGAAAAAAAACACGCACGAAGCCGAAAAAGCACAGGGAATGGACGTCCGAGCGATGGCCAGGGGCCACTCTTGCGTATAGCTGTGGGGGACGATCAATGGAGAGGGAGCATGCTGCCAAACACTTCCCCTATGTCTAGAACATGTGTTAAACGTGTCTTAAGCATGTGAACAACATACGTAAAGCATGTTAAGAACATGTCCCAACATCTTAAACACATTTAACATTCAATGAAGCATGCTGCCAAACACTTTCCCGATGCCTAAAGCATGTGCTAAGCATGTCGTAAGCACGTGAAAACATACTTAAGACATGTTTCGAGCATCTTCCAACATCCTGAACACATGTAAAAGTCAATGATGGGACTGTTAGGGTGTCCATTGCCGTGGCATCCACAACACTCTTGCGTACAGCCGAGTTCTGGCCCACCGCGCTTCGGCGCGACGCGCTATCAATCTTCGACTTGCCAGGCGTCAGCGTCCCGAGCCCTTCCCGGCATCCCGCCCCGCGGAGCGGAGCGATACGCCATGCGCTTACATGGCATGGCGGGTCGCCGCTGCCGCGACATGCGAAGCAAAAGTCCCCGACCGTCCACGCAGGAGTTACCCTTCACCGGAGTGACCGCTGCTGTGAGCCCGCTTGGGCCCCCCGGCCGCGGAACGTGATGCGACAGCAACGGCTTGCGCGCGCCGCGCTTGGATTAATCCTCCCCCCAGCCGCCGCAGTCCCAGCTCGCCGCGCACCAAAGGCCACTCCTGCACAGGGCCACTCCTTGCGCGCACAGCCGAGCCAGCGCGAGTCCCCGCCCCGTCGACTCTCGACGGTGGGGCTCTCTCCTCCTCCTCGGCGGCGAGCGAGGGGGGGAGATGAAAGGAGAAGGCCCTCCCAGAAGGCCGCGGGGCTCCTCAGAAGCCCTCGGGCCTTCTGAGAAGTTGTTGGCGTCCCCAGGGCAAGTCCAGGAAACTTCCCCGAGCCCTCTGAGAAGGGCCGCCCCCTCTCACTCCCCCCTCCCCGGGCTGGCCGCATTTTCCGCCTCCGCGGCCATCTTCCTCTTTTCCAAAACCGCCCTCGTGCCCCGCGCCCGGCGCGTCCCGCGGGCACCGGCCCCCGCGCCTGCGTCCGCCAGCGCCGCCGGCTAGAAGAAGATAGCTGAGGCAGCTCCTGGTTGGGGGGCGCGTCAAAAGGAGCACTCCAAACAGGGCCTTGCCCTCCTTCGGATCCCTGCAGGGGCCCTCTCGGGCCCAAAGGGGAGCCCTTGAGGGCCCCAGAAGGGCACCTGCCTTCCCCCCCCCCCCACCCATTTTGTGAGGGGGGGAAAACACACAGACACAATGAATCGTCGACTCCCAGGAAAAGATGGGAAACTATGGGAAGTGGGGGGGAAGACAAAAGCCCATAAGATATGGGAAAATATGGGGAATCCTGTTATTTGTGTGTATTGTGTGTATGTGTATGTGTGTGTGTGTGTCTGTGTGTGTGCGTGTGTGCGTGCGTGCGTGCGTGCGTGCGTGCGTGCGTGCGTGCGTGCGTGCGTGCGTGCGTGCGTGCGTGCGTGCGTGCGTGCGTGCGTGCGTGTGTGTGTGTGTGTGTGTGTGTGTGTGTGTGTGTGTGTGTGTGTGTGTGTGTGTCCCAAGGCCCCTTCAATCAATTTGATCGTCCCCCCACGAGTTCGCGCCCAACCTGGGGCGCGCCTTGGCCGTCGTCGCCGCCGTTCAGGGACAGCGAGGACGGCGACGGCCACCGCCAGAGCCGTCGCGCGCGCGGCCTCCGCTCCGCCCGCGGCGGCAGAGGGGCGCCAGCGCGGCCCAGGAGAGCCCCCAGGGGGCCCCAGCACACCCCAGAGGGCCCCAGGCATCCCAGGGCGAGGACGAGGACGAGGAGGAGGAAGGAGGAGGAGGAGGACGACGAGGAGAAGGAGAAGGAGAAGGAGAAGGGGAGGAGGAGGAGGAGGACCCGAACGGGGGGACTTCCAACAGGTGCACAAGACGGCCCAAGGACCCTGGTCCCAGGACGGACCGCCCAGGGTCGCTGCGTGCCCCCACGGCTCCTCAGTGGGGCGCCCCACAGGGACCCCAAGACAACACGACATGGCCCAAAGAGGCCCCCGAGGCCCAAGAGGTCTCTTGTGGCGGTCCTTGTGGTGCCGCCTATGGTTTGCGATTGCCCGTCGCATGCGCTGCCACGCCAAATACAGTCAAGTTTGCTTCTCCTTCGGGTAGATAACGCACATGTTCATCCCTCCTCGCCCTCTTGCCTCTCCTCTGCCACTGGACTCCTCGTTCTTCCTCCTCCTTCAGCCTCATGATCCCCACTTGAAGCAGCCGGGCTGCGTTGGATCGTCCGAGCTTGTATGTGATGGCTCGTCCGTTTTTGAAGTAGACATGTTTCGAAGGGCATTGTGTATGTTACCTTGTGTGTTGATTGTCTCCTGGGCTCTACTGTACTCATCCGCTCTGGGTGTTTTCGGGCAAAGCAGTATATTGACAGTTCCGCGCGACGTTCATCATTCTCCACCACCACCACCACCTACTCTTCGTATCTCCTCCGGGTCATCCTCCTTATTCCCCATTTCTCCTCGTCCATCCTTTCCGTTGTAGATCGCGCCCCTCGTCTGACCACCAGACGCGTCGGTAGGGCGGATCGGGCGTTTCGCCTGTCCCCGCTTATGACCCGAAATTGGAAAACGTTCAACGAATGCACGGACGAATGCGATCGTTTTCAGAATGTGTACCCGCCTCGCCACCGCGCACATTAGTTTCTAGAATATGCCAACCGCATCACGGATGGAGTGCGGTTCCTTTTCCAAATGTGGTCCTTGATTGAGCGCCGCGCACATTCGAATTAGCGTCGCGCGCAAACGTCTTACCATATTACAGCAGTCATTCGGATGGGAGTGGTTCTTTTTCAAAACGCGGATCTCGCTAGAGCGTTGCGCACATTGATTTTGAAAGTTCACAGGAGTTACACGGATGCAGGGTTGTCTCTTTCAAAAGTTGATTATCGAGTAAGCCCCGCGCAGATGTTTGTTCAAAGTTTCCAACGGCTACTCGGATGGAGGGGCTTTCGCCAGAGTTCTGCGCACACTTGTCTTTTACTTCACCAACAGTTACGCGGAGGGCGGTTCCTTTTCGAGACGCAGCTCTCGTCTAAGAGCTCCTTGGCCCTTACAACCGGACATCTCCGTCGTGCGCAACGGCGTCACGGGTGGAGGGCAGTTTTTTTGTTCAAACCACAGCTACACGCCGGTCGCTGAAAGCAGGTATTTTTGGATTCCCAAATCCCAATCTACCTCAAGCGCCTTCCTACTTCAAGAATCGGCCTGCATCTGCTCTGTGTTGGTATTCTCTGGGAGGACCTGGACCCAATCTACTATATCCGGCTTCCTACTGCATGTTTCTGCCCACTTCTTCCGACTGGCGTGTATCGCTGCAGAGTTGTGACCGGCCTGTTGACCAGACCTGAATTGCAGAAAAAGTTGCGCGGATTGAGGGCGGCTCTGTTTCAAAGCAAGGCCTTCGCCAGACATGGCGCTTGGGTTCCTGGCCCTGTCGCGTCGCCGTCCCTGCAGCCAGAAGCATGAACGACGGCGCCTTTTCAAACGGGGCGTTCGCCTGAACTGTAGGGCCTTGTGGTGCTTGCTCGTTGCTGAGACATACAAAGTGCGGGAAGCCAGTGGAGGAGGATGAGCATCATATCATATTGCGCGGGAAGAGGAGGATGAGAGGATGCATACATCTGATTGGAGGGAAAGTATGGGGAGGAGGACGAGCGCGGTGCCATGATCGATGTCGATGCGACGGGCACTTGGTGGCACTCGTGTTCGGTAGATGCTTTTGTTTGGGGGGGAGAGGTCGAAGCTCCCCATCTCCCTCCTTCCTGTCTCAAACCATTTTCCCCTTTATCTTGCCATATCACCCACTCCTCCTCCTCCTCCTCCTCCTCCTCCTCCTCCTCCTCCTCCTCCCCCTCCTCCCCTCCTCCCCTCCTCCTCATCCTCCTCCTCCCCCCTCCTCCTCCCCCTCTTCCCTCCTCCGCATCCTTCTCATCCCCCACCTCCTCCTCCTCCTCCTCCTCCTCCTCCTCCTCCTCCTCCTCCTCCTCCTCCTCCTCCCCCATCGTGGTGCATGGACCGATCACTGATTTGACCGTCGCTGCGCGGAGCCGCTCGAGAGAGCGGCAGCGCACGACCTCTACAGTCCACCCGCACAGTGGGGATGGGCAGCCTTCCCAAGGGTATCCCTGCATCCTTGCCTCCTCGGTCCATCCTTCGCCGCTTTCGCTGGCCGTGCCCCGCTCGAAAAGCTTCGGAATGGGCGGTCAAGGCCCTTGCATCCTTATCGCGCATCCTTCCTCTACTGGTTGACTGTACCCCTCCCCCTCCCCCTCCCCTTCCCCTCCCCTGACGTTCCCTTTCCCCCCCTTAAGTTCCCCCTCTCACCCCTCTGGCTGCTGCCCGTTCTCCTCCGATGGGGTCGCAGCCGACGGGGCGCAGCTGCTCCCGAGCGGCGCGCGCCAGTGTGCAGCGCCTTGGGTGCTCCCCCGCGCTGTTGAGACGCCCTCCCTCTTTTCCCCGCCTCCCGCCTGCCGCCCCCCCCACCAGAGCTCGTTTCGATTGATTCCTCCAGTTCGATTCGACTCGATTTCGATGGCTTCCGATTCCGATTCGATTCGACTTGGGATTCCGATCTGGGAGCTCCTCAATGGAGGCCTACCAGCCTGCGGATGTCTGCTGATTCGCTTTTTCCCGACTCGGTTGCCGGTTTCCGTCGATCCGATTCATGTCGAGTTCCGATACGACCTGTCGATTCGATTCTGGGCTCTGCTGCCCCCCGCCCGCGACCCCACAAGTCGCGGCGCTCGGCAGACTTATCTGCACGAGCTGAGTGTCCAGTTGGGCAGATCCTTGTCTTTCCTGCCGCCTGCGCGTGCCAGGCATCTTCTCCACCGACCGCGACCTTCAGAAAGCTGCGTGCTGCATGCTGTCAGGCGGATCGATGCGAGATCATATGATGGGAAGTGCGCGAAGAATCCATCGGCGCCGCCAGGTGAAAAGACGCGTTCAACTCGGACCGTGTTTCCGGGGCTACACTCGTGTGAGTGATTGCCCAGTATTTGATTAGACCGAGCGGTAGATTGGAGGGCTGTCGATCAACGCATGCGGTTGCTCGTTACTCTGATGTCATTATGCTTTCGACTGCGACGCAGTGCACAAATGGAGGCGGTTCTCGCTGTTGGTCTTGCGCACTTCTGTGCACCCTGTTTGAGATCAGTTGCGCGACCGATGTGCTTACATGGAGTTTCCCTCGGAGGCTCCCGCATGGATCAGACAGGGAGTGCTTCTGAATCCCTCGCCTCGGTTGGCTTAGGCATATGTTTCCCCCACTTGCTCCAGCCTGGCGAAGGAGCTCTTGGAGTGTCGCTCGGGTGCCAGCGCAGCGCGACGAAAGTGGACGTACCACTCGGACCTCAGGGGTGGCTGCCCCTCGCTGAAGGACCCTCTGGTGCTCCCCGACGTGGAGGCAGAAAGCCCGAGCTTCTGGAAGGACCTCTCTTTGTTCTTTCCACCCCCTGTTCGGGTGTTGCTAGAAGTGCCCCTGGCCCAAGGTGCCCCCAGGATTTCCAAGGAGGCCCCCACGGCCTCCAGAGAACCCATCTCACGAGGCCCGGAGGGCCCCAGGGGCCCCAAAAATGGTCGAAAAGTTGGGAGCACTTTGGGCCACGGGCACCTTTCGCAACCCCCGACCTGTCATTCTTGGGGACTGGTAAGGTGATCTGCAGGTTGTGGTGGCAAGGACTGCAGCGTGTACGACAGTGGTGATGATTTGGACCGCCGCCGGTATTTGGCTCTAATGCTCTACCATTGAGTGCGCCCACCGCAGTCGCAGACGTTGCTAGCAACTGAAAATGGCCAGCCCACCTCTAATACAGTCCTGCCCTCCCCACTGGTTAAGGGTTTGGTGAAGGGGCCAAGTGCAGCAGTCGAAAGCGCATGCCCCGTCAAGTGCAAACGGGGCCCACTGGAAGAGTTCATTCTTAATTCCGATATCGCCAACCCACCACTTTCGTGTAGAAGGGGGTGCCCTTTCGGGGCCGACCCGACCCTACCCTGAGCTGACCCCGCCCAGCACCTCAGCCTCTCCGCAACTGCCTCGTCGCAGATACCGCATTCTGGGTGCTCCGGGGCACGACTCGGCGGCGAGCCCAGGGGGAAGTGAGAAGGAGAAGGCCTTCTCAGAAGGCTCTGAAGTCCCCCGGCCTTCTGGAAAGTGCTCTGAGCCTTCCCCGGAGACACATAATAGTATCCCTCCGAAGGCGCGAGGGCCTCCGAGAAGTCCCCCCCGCCTTCTGAGGAGGCCTCGGCCTCCTCCTCCTCCTCAGAATTCCCCCTTCCCCGCTCGCCGCCGAACGACGCCGTCGCGGTGCTCAAACTCCCTCTGGCTGGGTGGGAGGGGGGAGGGGAGGGCCTGGCCAGGAGGCTGGCTGGCTGGTGTGGCCCGGCCAGGAGGGAGGGAGGGGCGGGGGAGGGCCGGGGCCCGAGGGCCAGCGGGGATGGGGATCAGCATTGTTTAACTCAGGAGGGGGAAAAACACACAGACATAATGAATCGTCGATTCCCCAGAAAATATGGGAAAACATGGGAAGTGGGGGGGAAGACAAAAACCCTGAAAATATTGCAAAATATGGGGAATCCGGCTATTTGTGTGTATTTATTTGTGTGTCCCAGGGCCCCTTCATTAACCGATCCCTAACCCCATCCTGATCCTTATCCTTATGGAGGACGATCAATGGAGAGTCGTTGGAGAAGGTTCTGTCTTGCGAAGGCCAGGTCCTGATTCATTCACGTATCCGTCAAGGCGGGGCACTTGATCCATTACTTCCCCGCAGCACGCGGCCACTTGTCCGCGAGACTCCTGGCTGCTCCTGAAAAAGGTTGTCGCAGCCAGGGCCCTTGCCGCTGCAGCTCTTCGGTGATATACGTACGCCCCCTCCCCCTGGCCCTTCCATTCTCCTTGCCGCGCCGACGCACCAGCACGTATTCGACCCGTCGCACACGCACAGACGATACCATGCATATCCGTATACATATATCACGTGTACGTGTAAAACATACCCTGGCGACGTACCCAACCCCTGCGCAATGCGGGGCATGAGTAGCTTGGGAGTCGTTATACGGAGGTGATGACGTGACATAGGCGCATATACTTCTGCGAGCGGCATTCGTGAGGCTCGCAGCCCCCCATGGATTGCCATGACCCGCCATATCTGCCTGGTGCCTCGCTCCGCTGGACCCACCAGCAGCCCTCGAAAGTGGCGACAGTTTTGCAGATCGCCCCCCCCCCAGGGACGGCGAGGTCCCGCTCAGGTCCGCGCGGTGCTTTACTCCGCAGGACCCACCAGCAGCCCTCGAAAGTGGCGACAGTTTCGCAGATCGCAGCCCCCCAGGGACGGCGAGGTCCCGCTCAGGTCCGCGCGGTGCCTCACTCCGCAGGACCCACCATCAGCTTTCGAAAGTGGCGACAGTTTCGCAGATCGCAGCCCCCCAGGGACGGCGAGGTCCCGCTCAGGTCCGCGCGGTGCCTCACTCCGCAGGACTCACCAGGAGCCCTCGAAAGTGGCGACAGTTTCACAGGTCGCAGCCCCCCAGGTGTGGCGAGGTCCCACTCAGATCCGCGCGGTGCCTCACTGCGGAGGACCCACCAGCAGCCCTCGAAAGTGGCGACAGTTTCGCAGATCGCAGCCCCCCAGGGACGGCGAGGTCTCGCTCAGGTCCGCGCGGTGCCTCACTCCGCAGGACCAGTGGCGACAGTTTCGCAGATCGCAGCCCCCCAGGGGCGGCGAGGTCCCGCTCAGGTCCGCGCGGTGCCTCACTCCGCAGGACCCACCAGCAGGCCTCGAAAGTGGCGACAGTTTCACAGATCGCAGCCCCCCAGCAATGGCGAGGTCCTGTTTGGATCCGCGGTGAGTACCCTCTCTGCTGGCCTCTCCAGCAGGCCTCGAAAGTTGCGACAGATTCACAGATCGCAGCCCCCCATGGCGAGGTCCTGCTTGGATCCGCGGTGAGTGCCCTCTCTGCTGGCCTCCCCAGCAGCCCTCGAAAGTGGTTCCAATTTCACAGGTCGCAGCCCCCCAGGGACGGCGAGGTCCTGCTTGGATCCACGGTGGGTGCCCTCTCTGCTGGCTTCCCCAGCAGTCCTCGAAAGTGGCGACAGTTTCACAGATCGCAGCCCCCCCCCATGGCGAGGTCCTGCTTGGATCCGCGGTGAGTGCCCTCTCTACTGGCCTCCCCAGCAGCCCATCGAGAGTGGCGACAGTTTCACAGGTCGCAGTCCCCCAGGGATGGCGAGGTCCTGTTTGCATCCGCGGTGTGTACCCTCTCTGCTGGCCTCCCCAGCAGCCCTCGAAAGTGGCGACAGTTTCACAGATCGAAGCCCCCAGGGATGGCGAGGTCCTGTTTGGATCCGCGGTGGGTACCCTCTCTGCTGGCCTCCCCAGCAGCCCTCGAAAGAGGCGACAGTTTCACAGATCGCAGCCCTCCAGGGATGGCGAGGTCCTGCTTGGATCCGCGGTGAGTGCCCTCTCTGCTGGCCTCCCCAGCAGCCCTCGAAAGCGGTTACAATTACACACATCGCAGCCCCCCAAGGATGGCGAGGTCCTGCTTGGATCCGCGGTGAATGCCCTCTCTGTTGGCCTCCCCAGCAGCCCTCGAAAGTGGCGACAACTTCACACATTGCAGCCCCCCCAGGGATGGCGAGGTCCTGCTTGGATCCGCGGTGAGTGCCCTCTCTGCTGGCCTCACCAGCTCCCCCCTCGAAAGTGGCGACAGTTTCACAGATCGCAACCACCCAGGGATGGCGAGGTCCTGTTTGGATCCGCGGTGAGTAAGTACCCTCTCTGCTGGCCTCCCCATCAGCCCTCGAGAGTGGCGACAGTTTCACAGGTCGCAGCCCCCCAGGGATGGCGAGGTCCTGCTTGGATCCGCGGTGAGTACCCTTTCTGCTGGCCTCCCCAGCAGCCCATCGAAAGTGGCGACAGTTTCACAGGTCGCAGCCCCCCAGGGATGGCGAGGTCCTGTTTGGATCCGCGGTGAGTGCCCTCTCTGCTGGCCTCCCCAGCAGCCCTCGAAAGTGGCGACAGTTTCACAGATCGCAGCCCCCAGGGATGGCGAGGTCCGTTTGGATCGCGGTGAGTACCCTCTCTGCTGGCCTCCCAGCAGCCCTCGAAGTGGCGACAGGTTTAGGTCGCGCCCCCCAGGACGGAGAGTCCTGTTTGGATCCGGTGAGTGCCCTCTCTGCTGGCCTCCCCAGCAGACCCTCGAAAGTGGCGACAGTTTCACAGATCGCAGCCCCCCAGGGTGGCGAGTCCTGTTTGGATCCGCGGTGATTACCCTCTCTGCTGGCCTCGCCAGCAGCCTCGAAAGTGGCGACAGTTCACGGTCGCAGCCCCCAGGGATGGCGAGGTCCTGTTTGGATCCGCGGTGAGTGCCCTCTCTGCGGGCCTCCCCAGCAGCCCATCGAAAGTGGCGACAGTTTCACATGTCGCAGCCCCCCAGGGACGGCGATGTCCTGTTTGGATCCGCGGTGAGTGCCCTCTCTGCTGGCCTCCCCAGCAGCCCTCGAAAGTGGCGACAGTTTCGCAGGTCGCAGCCCCCCAGGGACGGCGAGGTCCCGTTTGGATCCGCGGTGAGTGCCTTTTCTGCTGGCCTCCCCAGCAGCCCTCGAAAGTGGCGACAGTTTCGCGAGGTCCCGTTTGGATCCGCGGTGAGTGCCTTCTCTGCTGGCCTCCCCAGCAGCCCTCGAAAGTGGCGACAGTTTCACAGATCGCAGCCGCCCAGGGATGGCGAGGTCCTGTTTGGATCCGCGGTGAGTACCCTCTCTGCTGGCCTCCCCATCAGCCCTCGAGAGTGGCGACAGTTTCACAGGTCGCAGCCCCCCAGGGACGGCGAGGTCCAGTTTGGATCCGCGGTGAGTACCCTCTCTGCTGGCCTTCCCAGCAGCCCTCGAAAGTGGCGACCGTTTCGCAGATCGCAGCCCCCGCAGGTCGCAGCCCCCCAGGGACGGCGACCACAGGGGGGGCGGGAGAATGACGCGACCACACCCCTCTATTCAGAACGAATACCCAACCAAGGAGGGTTGGGAAAACACAGAAAGAAAGAACAAAAACAATAAGCATGACAATAATTATATCAAAAGAAAAATAGAAAACAAAAAATAACGTGTGCGTGTGAGCGCATGTGTGTGAAGAGCTTCGCCCTCCGCCGCCTCCCCCCCCCACTCCTCAGGCTTGCTCGCGTGGCCACGCTCGGTTTTGGCAGGCTGCTCTGTTCTCTTGTCTGCTGGTCGGCTGGCCACAGCCAGCCAACCAACAGACAAGACACCAAGCCTCATCTCAGCTTGTCTTGTCTTGTCTTGTCGTTGGTCTGTTAGCGGATTGGCATGCAGCTGGTTGGAAGGCTGGTTTGCTCGTCTGTTGGTTGGCTGGCCACACGGCGGAGTGGCCTGTAGAGCCGGCCCAGATCAGGAGGTCGACCTTGCCAAATCAAGGATACCCTTGCGTCTTGTGTCTCGCGACCCGTGCCTCCTACATTCCTATGGCCATGTGGCCCTCGGAAGGGTCTTGTGTCATCTCGCGTGTCCTGCCCAATCAAGTCCGACTGTAGCAGGTTGGCAGCTGGTCCGGGCCGTCTGTTGGCTGGCTGGCTGCGCGCGTCCGTAGCAAAGGAACTCGGGATGGTCGCTTTGGGAAGGCACATCCATGATAGTTTATGAGGCTTCGGGGCTCCGAGGGCGTGCACCCCCAGCGAGTTACGAGTACCATTAAGTCGGGCCTGTCCATCTACAGGGGGAATATTCAAAAATAGTCCAAAAATAGTCTGGGGACTGGGGACTATTTTTTGGAGTTTCTTTTGACCATTTTGGAATATTTGTTGAGTTTTTTTCGTCGAAAATCCCCCTGTGGGGGGACACGCCCGACTGAAGAGTACCAGCGGCGTCAGGTCCAGAGCCGAATTCTCAGAGAACAGCAGGGGCCCAAAAAGTGCTCCCGAACACATACCCCAAAGCAGGCAATGACGGCTTGTCTGCTCCGAAGGGGGGATTGGCGTTTGGGGGCAGTTTCCGTGGGATGGGTTCGCGACCTCGGGAGCGTACATTCTGTAGTCATGTACATGGGCTTGTTGCCTCGGGGGCGCGAGGCCAGCGTAATGTGCCAGGGATTGTGCCGTCGGCAGAGCGGATCTGGCGCAAGTTGCTGATGATTGTGGCCTCGGGAGCGAGAGCGTGATGCAATTTGCGAAGCGTTGTGGCTGGGGAAACCTGGCGTACATTACAAAGAGGGAGGAGGAGGAGGAGGAGAAGGAGGAGGATTGTGGCCTGAGGGGCGCGAGCCTGGTGCACTTTGCCCCGGACTTGTGGCCTCGGGAGCGCGACCCCCCGCGACGTGAGCTGCGTGGCGGCGTGGCCGCGGGAGCGAGAAAAGCTATCGTCTTCGAGATGTCCCCTGGGCCCCGTGTCAGGTCAACGGGCGAGGGCCGCAGGCCGCCCAGGTGGGTGGCACGTGGCAGGGTACGGCAAGTACATGTGCAGTCACAGCAGAGCTGAAACCAGCAAAGTGCTGGGCCTGCGGAGGGGACCAGGCGGCAAGACCGGGCCCAGGTGGCGAAACGCGCGGGGACACCGCCAGCGGCGGCAGCTCCGCGAGCGCCACAGCGAAAGCGCGAGGGAGGGAGGGAAGGCGAAACGAGAGGGGGGGGGGCCCCAGGAATCCTGAGAGCCCCCAGCGGGGGGGTGAGACAAGGGCTCTTTTCAGCCTCCCCCCCTCGCACATACCCAAACCAGCACAACAGTGGAGCAAGAAAAAAGAGGGACTGTAGAGCTAGAACTCGAAGCCAGAACTGGACAGCCTCGTCCTCGAAACCCCACAGGGGTCCGACGGATACATATATATATATATACATACATACATACATACATGCATGCATGCATGCATGCATGCATGCATACATACATACGTACATACATCCATACATACATACATACATACATACATACATGCATACATACATACATACATACATACATACATATACATGTACATATACATATACATATACATATACATATACACATACATTTACACATACAAATACATATACATATACATAAACATATACATATACATATACATATACATATACATAGACATATACATATCCCCGACATGGCCCCGACCCAGAGTGAAGAAGAACCATTGGAGAGATAGGCCACAGTCTCGCACAGGAAGAGAGCGGGAGCGCAGGGCAGGAGAAGGACAGAGAAGGGGGGGGGCCTAAGAGTCAACGCAGTAGCAGCAGCAGCAGCAGCAGCAGCAGCAGGGAAGCGGTGAAAGGGGGAGAGGACGACAACAAGGGAGGCTGGATGAGAAAGGAGGGTGGCGATGTGCTCAATGACACGGGGGGAAGCAGCGCAGCCCGCGGAAGGTCGCTCGACGCCCCAAATCACCACCGGTGCATAACCCGTGCAAATAGCGACCGGCGCCGAGCTCGCCCGCCAGCCTCTCCAAATCCTTCCTGTACCTTTCAGCGTGGGAGTTAAACGCCCGTAAGCGCGCCGCCAATTCTGCGGGCGGCCCGCGGGAAACGAGATCGAGGCTGGGGCCGCGTATGATCAGCAAGTTCTCGAACCTTCGTGGCCCCGGAAAGCATCACGTAGATTCGCAGCTCGAGGCCGCGCAGGTCCTCCACGTCCTTGCATACGGCGTCGACTATGCCTCCGCGTGGCATGGTCCGGCCCTGGCAGGACGTCCGGACGTGACGTTGCGGTCGGTGGCGGCAGCTTCTCAGTTCGCACCTCCCCAGTGAAGGCGAGGTCCTGCTCTGACTTGGCTAGGGCGTCGCTCTGCCCCGATATGCCGAGGACGTCACTCCGCTGGACCTCCTTCTGCAGCCTTCGGGTGTACCAGCTATTTCGCAGTTCGCAGCCCCCCGGCGACGGCGAGGTCCCGCTCTGATCCGCCGAGGACGTCACTCCGCTGGGATCCCTTTGCAGCTTTCGAAAGCGGCGACAGCTTCACAGTGCGCACCCCGCAGCGACTGCGAGGTCCCGTTCGGATCTGCGTAAAACGCTATTCCGCTAAACCCCCTAGCAGCCTTCGAAAGTGGTGACGCACTCGCAGAGCGTAGCTCACTGCGACGGCAAGGGTTCGTTTGATTTGTGCATGACGTCGTTCCTGTGGAACCCCAGCAGCCCCCATAAGTGGCGACAGTTTCGTAGCGCGCAGCCGCCCAGCGACGGCAAGGTTCCGCTCCGATATGCGCATGACGTCAGTCCGTTGGGCCTTCGCAAATGGCGACGATTTCGCACGTCGCAACACCCTAGCGACGGCGAGGTCCCGCTCCGATATGCCTAGGATGCCATTCCGCTGGACCCCAGAACCCTTCGAAGGTGGCGAGAGTTTCGCAGCTCGCAGCCTCCCAGCGGCGGCGAGGTCCCATTCGGATCTGCCTAGGACGTCATTCCGCTGGACCTCCAAGCATCCTTCGAAAACGGCGACAGCACCGCAGCGCGCAGCCCGCTGGCGACGGCGAGGTCCCGCTCAGATCCGCCGAGGACGTCGCTCCGCTGGACCCCCCAGCGGCTTTCGAAAGCGGCGATAGCCTCGCAGCGCGCAGCACCCTTAGCGACGGAGAGGTCCCGCTCGGATCTGCGTAGGACGTCTCTCCGGCGGACCCCGCAGCAGCCCTCGAAAGCGGCGACGGTTTCGGAGTTCGCTACCCCTGGCGATGGCGGGGTCTCGCTCTGACTTGACTAGGACGTCGCCCCGCTGGACGCCCCAGCAGCCCTCGCAAGGGGCGACAGCTTCGAAGTCCGCAACCCCGGCGCGAGGTCCCAGACAGGACGGCGAGGAAGGAGGCAGGAGGCAGGTGGGAAGATCGGGCCGGGCGAAAGGGGGGGATTGGGAAAGGGGGGGGTACGAAATTTGCTGCATGCAGCTGGTTTCGGCCTCACTGAGGGGGGGCCCATTCCTCGATACATAACCGCCTCCGGCGCCGGGAGGCGCCGGGAAAATCAGCTACGCGAGCTGATTCTCAAACCCCCTCTTTGCTATCCCCCCCTTTCGCCCGACCCGAGAAGAGGAGGAGGGAGGCGGGAAGGAAGGAAGCAAGTAGACGCGGTTCCACTGCTCCATTCAGAACGAAAAAACAATGCAAGAGCGTTGGGGAAACATGTAACATCAAGGCGAAATCGGGGACGAGGAAGCATACAACCCGAGTGAGCAAGGAAACTCTGCCAATATGACATTGCCCGTCTGGTTCGAAGTGCCAGGCACGATAGTCGAAAGAGAAAGGAGATAGTTGAAATACGAGGGGAAGTTGAGTGTGATATTCTGAAATGAAACAGTCGTTGGGGAGAGTTTAACGCAATGATATGAGACGATCGTGCTGGCCTCATTGAGTGGCCTGGCCGCTAGGATGTCCGTTTCTCCCTTCAAGCGAAAACACAGTGTGGAGTGCTTGGAGCAAGGCAGGAGGAAAAGGAGCATGAAGAGAACGAAACTCACCGGGCAAGCCTCGGCTCAGTTGGCCGTGCACACGAGGCGAGAAGCAGTGTTGAGTCCTGTGGGATGCAGCTCGGGGCAGCGTCTGCGCAGCCTTGCAGTGCGGGATCGGGCTTACTCGTGTGCAGTACTTCCGCCGCTTTCCCAGCCCAACTCGGTGCACTTGCTTCAGGAGCGAAAGAAGGACGTACATGTACATGAATCCACGCTGGTTTCGAGAGCACGCATTGCACAAATGTTCGTATCACGTGGCCGGTCTCGCGAATCGAGGGGCCTTGTTCATGTACATAGCTGGGCGCGTACATCCTTTGGTGGGTTCCCTAACTTGCTCACTCGTGCAATGACCGCCGCCTTGGGCACCCGATCGGAATCCCCCGCCCCCTGCTGAGGCCGGCAGTCTCTTGGGCACCTCCGCGAGCGGAGGTCGCTCGACACCGAGTGGGCCCCGCTGGTGCCTGGAGCACGAAGCTGGCATGGACCACAAAAAAGGAGACACTAAAAAACATATTTTATACATATATATATATATATATATATATATATAATCGGGCGACTCGGGACACACATCTCGTCAGTTCCGTTTGCCGCCATGGCTCCAATCGAACGGGTCTACGGGCGGTGTTCCCGTGGCGCGCGCCCGCGGCGGGTGCTGCTGTCGCGCGCAGCCAGTCCATGATCCCTGGTGACGCTTCACAGTGGGCGGTGGGCCAGCGGCATGGGGGCATATCCTCCGAAGTCCCGTCCCCAGCCATTTTGCGCAGCTTCGCTTGCGTTGATCCGACGGCGTCGGAGCAGCTCAAGTGCATCTGGCCGCTTGGCCAGGGCCAGCCTTCCTTCCGAACGGAGCTCTGGTTGAATCGGATCTAGAGCTGCCACGACGGCATCGGTGCGACGCGGGCAGTGAGCACCATTGCCGGCGCAGAACTTGATGGCCGAGTCGCCATGGCCGCTAATCGCTCAAGCGTGGCCGCGGGCGGGTCGGCCGTGTACTCCGCCCCCTCCCCCTTGCTTCGGACATGCTCGTACTCCTATCTCTCTCTCTCTCTCTCTCCTCATCGTCGTCACCAGCCCCACCAAGGCCATTCTAGCTCAAGCCACGTCGGCCCAGGGCAACTGCCGCCCGCTCCCGCGTCGGGGAACGGCGGCGCCCCCCCTCCCCAGATCTCGGGCGCTGCGTAATGGGAGGGGGCATCAGAGGGGGAGGTGAAGAGAGGTGCACCGCACCACGCGTGCCCTGAAGGAGCCCCGAAAAGGGCACCAGAGGTACACGTTCCTTCGCCCCCCACTCTCGTGTCTCGCCCCCCCGTTCCGCAGAGCACGGGAGCAGCTCGCCCTCTGCAAGGGCCTTGCCGATGGACGCCGCGCCCGAGGTCTCGCTGGAGGCGGCTCCCGCCGCCCGCGGCGGGCTCCTCCGCGGGTGCGCGGGCGCCGCCGGGCTGTCGCAGCCCACGGGCCTGGGCGGGAGGCTGGTGGTCCGGAACACGTTCCTCCACTTCCAGGATCGGCGGCGGGACCGAGGGGGGAAGGTTTGGGAGTTTCGGGTTCGAGGTTCGGCTCTCCCTCTGGGACCTCGCCCCCTGCTCCAGTCCATGGCGTACCTTGTCCTGTGCAAGATCTTCGGCACCGCCTGTACTCTGAGCCCTCCGGCCGCCTGAGGCCCTGCCCGCCCGCGCCTTGTCTCCCCAATTAGGGCTACTCGCGCCCCGTTTAGCTCTTGACCGGAAGGGGCCCGCTCCCGACCCGCAGACCAAAAAAAAGGGTTCGGCGCGTGGGTTTTCGGCGGCTTCCATGACCTGAGGATGTGATGGCAGGGGGACTCAGCAGGCCTTCGGGGGTCGATTCGTGGCTTCCGCCATTCGCGGCATCGTGGCAGCTCGGCGGTGGCGTCGCGGCCCGGCACGCCTGTCGTTGACCCCGTGGAGGGGTTGGCGTCACCGCTTCGCGGTTGCACTGCATGGGTCTTGGCTCCTGTGCCCAGTGTCGTGCCGTGCCGCGTGGGTGTCGCGGTGTCGCCGCTTGGGCTACCGGGCTCGCGGGCTCGTCCCGTGGTGTTGGCGGCCGCTGGCAGCCGACTGTCGCACCCTTGGCCCTCCCTCCCGGTGCGACGTCTTGTCCTCCGAGTGGCGCTGGCTGCCGCGGTCTCTCGGAGGGTGTTTGAAATCCTCCAGCATCGGGGTGCGCTTCGGAAGCTGCGCCTCGCCGAGAGTTTTCCCGGGGGTGCTCGACTCGTCCCGAGCGGCCACCAGAAAGCCAAATTATGATCCCAGACCATTGAGCGTCTGGGAGAGGGGGCAGGCCTTCGCAGAAGGCGGCGGGGCTCCTCAGAACCCCCCTGGCCTGCCGAGCGGTGTTCTGCGCCGGCAGGAAAGGCTCAGAGGCCTCCTCAGAAGGCGCGGGGGCTCCTGAGAAACCCCGCCGCCTTCTGAGAAGGCCTGCCCCCTCTCACTTCCCCCCCTGGGCTCGCCGTCGGCAGGAGTACGAGGAGGAGCGCAGGGTGCGCCGACTGTTCCGCATCGCGTCGGCGCCGGAGCTGCCGCTCCCGCCGCGCGGCCCCGAGGCTCCCCGCGGCCAGCCGCCGTCGTCCTCGGGCGCCGAGTGGCGCACCACCGTGCTGCTCCGCAACGTACCGTATCCGCTCACCCGGGATATGCTCGTGGAGCTCTTGGACGCGCACGGCTTCCGTGGGCAGTTCGACCTCGTATACGTGCCCAGGGACTTCAAGACAAACCAGACGTTCGGCTACGCCTTTGTCAATGCCCTCACGTCGGAGATCGCTGCCCGCATCCACCGCTCCTTCGAGGGCTTCCAAGCGTGGCCCGTGAAGAGTCAGAAGAAGTGCAGTGCGGGCTGGAGCAACCGGCAGGGCTTGCAGAGCAACGTCGCCGTCTACCGCAATCTGACCGTCATGAAAGGGTCCGCCCCCGAGGACTGGAAGCCAGCTCTCTTCTTGTGCGGCAGCCAGGTGCGGGCACGATCGGAATGGGCACGGAAAGAGTTGTGACGAAGACCGACAGCAGTTCCTGCCCATGCCGGGTTGCCGCGGACGTTGTCTGTTTAAAACAGGCAGACGCCCGCCCCGCGGTGGCCGCTGCCAGTCTTAGATAGCATCTGCGGTTGGGCCCCCACTGTTGTTCCGTACCCACCCCGGGCGTGTCAAGGGTTCGAGCAGGGGATGACTACAGAATTCATTGACCCCCAAATTGATTTGCTCGTCGAATCTTTCGAAATCCGTGCACCTACGAGCATTCTGCGCACTTGTTTCGTAGATTCGACGCGAAAAACAATTTCGGGGTAGATCAATTCTCTAGTCGATCCCCTGCTCGAGAGGTGGCGTTCCCCGCGCCCACGAGGAAGAGCGGGGCCCGCCAGATGCGTCCGCGGCATCGCCCCAGCGCGGGCGGCGGCGCGGCGCAGCGGCTTCCGGATCTGACCGACGAGCTGGGCATCCAGGCCGACGAGGTCTGACCCGAGGGTGCACCCAGAGCTTCCAAAACTGAGCACGCAGGATGACAGGTGAACGCATCCAGAGCGAAGCGACGAGCTTCCATCTTAGGAAGCTCCAGGGCCTCTTGGGAGGGGGGGGGGGAGAGCGAGGGTCTTGCGGGTATCGAACGACAAGCCAAGTGCATCTGCAGTTGTTTGCCCTTCCAGGGCAGGCGCGGTTGGTGGGCTGGTTAGTTATGGCCGCTTTTTGTATGCACCGTTGGCGTGTCACCGCAGAAGTACCGCACATAAATCGGGGAGAAAGAGATATGGAACATTGACGGGATGAGGCGGGGAGCGTGCCAACAGCGTTTCAAGGCCGCTCCCGGCGCCAACTGGGCTCGGGTACCAGGGTTGTGTTTCACATAGCTCCTCCTCTCTTGGGGAGAGGGGGTGGGGCGTCCAGATGCGCCAGAACACCTCAGTAGGCCCGTCCAGGGCATTAGACGGAAGAGCCGATGGCTGCTTGACAAGGGCGCCTGAGCATTTTGCGGAGATCGGCGGCGAGCACGGAGGGGAAGTGGGAAGGAGCAGGCCTTCTCAGAAGGCTCGGAAGTCCCCCGGCCTTGGAGAAGTGTTGTAAGCCACCCCCGAAGACACAGATAACTTCTCGGAAAACGCGGTGCCTTCTGAGAAGTCCCGCCGCCTTCTGCGAGGGCCCTCTCCTGCTCACTTCCCCCCCTGGCTCGCCGCCGAGCAGCGAGTGCGGGGCGAGCGACGCAAGGAGCGCGCGGCGTGCCGGCTCGCTGAAGCCGCCCACGATCTCGGAGCGGCCTCTTGCCGTTTTTTGCCACCGCTGGCAGAACCGCGCCAGAAGGCAGGACGGGGACACCTTTGTCCAGACGTCGCGATCGCGACTGGCTTGCAGTGCGGCGCGACCTCGCGCCTCCTGGGGCGCAAGTACAAAAGCACGCGGCGGCGCCGACGAGCGGCGTCGGACGTAACTTCTTTGAAGCAGGCCGGGGCCGGGAGCGGCCGTCCTTCGAGGCTCAAACAATGACAGAAGCATGCATGCATTTTCGGAGGCCCGCGCCGGTTCCCTGGAAGGGTGCTGGGCCCCCCTGGCGGCGCCTCCGGCGCCGCCACTGGCGCGCAGGGGGGGGGGTCCAGCGCCGATCCAAGAAGTCCGCGCGGACCTCCGCACCTGTGCACGCCTATGGCTAGGTCGGGCCCGTCCCTCTGCAGGAGGACGATTCCAAGATAGGAAAAATGGTCTGGGGACGATTGCTCTCTTTTTTTTGCTGTTGTCTCTCATGTTGGGTGTGTTTTGGACAATTTTAATTTTTTTCGTCCCAAGTCCCCCCGTAGGGTGACAGGCCCGACCTAAGCCTACGTCATGGTTTGCTCCTCGAGCTCTCTCCCTCCGTGGTCGCGGCGCGGGCCTCTGACCATCGGGCCTCCGTGGTCGCGGCGCGGCCCTCCTCCCTCCTCCTCCTCCTCCTCCTCCTCCTCCTCCTCCTCCTCCTCCTCCTCCTCCTCCTCCTCCTCCTCCTCCTCCTCCCCCTCCTCCCTCCTCCTCCTCCTCCTCCTCCTCCTCCTCCTCCTCCTCCTCCTCCTCCTCCTCCTCCTCCTCCTCCTCCTCCTCCCCCTCGCTCGCGGCCGGATCCTCCTCCTTCCTGCGCCTGCCGCCCGCGGCCTTTCCTGGACCCCGCGCCGAGCACTGGCAGTCGCGGGGCACTTTGCGGGTCCTTCTGCCCGGGGCGCGACCGCCCCTTGATCAGGAGGCCTCCGCGTGCGGGCCGAGCGGCACGGCGGCAGGGGCAGGGGCGGGGACGAGCTGCCGCGTCAGCTCCCGTGGCCTCGGCCGAGGACTTTTTCAGGAGGCTGGGCCTGCGACTATCGGGCCGAACGAAAGGGGGGGATACTCCAGATTTCGTAATAAAGGGAGGGAGGTCTCATTTCGGGGGGGGGTCTCTTCCAGGCTATCTTGGAGGGCCTGGGGGGGTCTGGGGACGATGTTTTGGAGGGTTCTCCCATGGGGGAGGTCTGAAATGGCTTGTCTTCGAGGGTCCAGACCCCCTCCCTTTTATTACGACATCTGGAGTACAGTAGAGGGCAGCGGCTCTGCTGGTGAAGGGCGCGCGGAATCTGGCGAAAGGGTCACCTGGGGCATCGGCGTCATCGTATCACCGGGCGCGTTCCACTACTCGCAGAGTGCCTACAGTCGGGGCCCTGAAGAAGGAACCCTTTTCGTTGGGGAGGGGCTCCGTGTTCCTTGATTGTTTCACTGCTTGCCTCAGGTTTCCCTTATGTTTTCGATGGGAAATCGAAGTTCAACTTCTGGAAAAAAGGGGCCTCGTTCCTCATTTAAGGTTCCTTAGGTCAACGCCCCGACTGTAGGGAAGGGGGGGGGGTGACGAAATCTGCTGCATGCGGCTGGTTTCGGCCCCGCCGCCGGGTCCATTCCTCGATGCCTGGGCGTCTCCCGGCGCCGGGAGGCGCCGGGAATTTTCAGCTACGCGAGCCGATTCTCAACCCCCCCTTTTGCTATGCCCCCCTCTCGCCCGGCCCGAGACTAGCCCCCACCACCGTTTCGTTTCGGGGGTGGACAGAACCCCCAACAGCGACACGTCGATTAGTGAATTGTCCGTGTTCGGTTCTCGAGAGGGCGCCGTGGCCGTTGTTTTCCAGGCTTGCGTCCGCCAGGTTTGGGCCTCAGGTCGTTTTCACTAAACCACGTTCTACGAAAGAAGGGTCTGTCCATCCCCGATCGTTGCATCGCACAGAATTCGAACTTTATCAGAGCGCCGATCTGTAGGCGGCTGGTTAATCGCAGTTTGGCGTCGCGGGCTTCTGGCAGCGCGGCGCGGCGCGGCCGGCCGCTCGTGACCAAGAGTGGCGGCGGAGGGGAAGGAGGAGGAAACAATCAATTTGAGGAGGGGAAAAACCACACAGACACAATTCATCGTCGATCTCCTAGAAAATATTGGAAATGTGGGAAGTGGGGGGGAAGACCAAAACCCAGAAAATATGGGAAAATATAGGGACTATCTTTATTTGTGTGTATCTATTTGTGTGTCCTGCAGCCCCTTCAAAGTGGAGGAGGAAGCAATTTGAGGAGGGTGGGGTGGGATCGACAGCGTGTCCGCTCATATCTTGCTGCCGTTTTCCATGCGCTGGCCCGCCCAGTGTGCCGGTTCCTCCGCGGAGTTGACGCGAGGCGTTCCAGAAAGAGCCTCGCCCTCGCGAGCCGGAGAAGTTGACGTCTCCTCCGCGGCGGAGGGCGGCGGAAGGAAGACGAAGCCGTCTCGGCCAGCAGAGGCTGGTGGAAGGCCGGCGGACGCCCGCGGAAGTAAGGGCAGCGGCACCGCAGCAGGTACCCGCCAGCGGGTTTCTGGCATCAAAGCGTTGCCCACACCAGGGAGGGCTGGGTTCGCCGGGTCACTGGCCAACGTGCCCGCCTATGGAGTCCCCGTGAAATGGGCGCTGATAGAAGTCGGCCCCCAACAGATGGTACGGTGTTGTGACTCAGGGCTTCTGGAGCCCGCCACGTGGGCCCCTCTCCTACGGCTGTTAGGTCGGGCATGCCCTCCTACAGGGGGATGTTGGACGAAAGATAACACATGTATTCAAACTGCGTTCAACAATGATCGAAAATACAACAAAAAAACATCGTCCCCATCTTATGTTTTGACTATTTTGGAATATCCCTCCTGTGGAGGGACAGGCCCGACATAATCCTACGGGCCCGTAGTCACCATCCGCATCGTATCCGTTCCGAGGTCGATGTGGCCAGGGTGCGCCCTGGCTCTCGGAGGTCTCGGTATGGCCACGACACACTGCACGTCTGCCTCATCTGCCTCTCCCTCGTGGTTCCGTCATTACTTCTGAGTCCCCGCCCGAACCTCTCCCTTTGTCGGGACCTGGAACATATGCATTACCAGTGGCGGGTTGTTCTTCAATCCCAGGACTTTTTGAGGGTCGGGGACGGCGTCGGCTTTCCTGGGGAGACAACGAAAAATGTATACGCGAGGACCCCGTATACGGGACCCGCTGTCCTGTGCAAGCGTCAGCGCGGGGCCAGAAGAGGGCGTCGGTGTATACAGTTCGGCTCCTGATCTTCCTCCATCATTATTTTTGAGTCCCCTCCTGATCCTCCTCCTCCTCCTCCTCCTCCTCCTGCTCCTCCTCCTCCTCCTCGTCCTTCACGTCCCTTGAGTGGGGAGGGAACTGCGGGGGGGGGGAGGAGGAGGGGAGGGAGGAGGGAGGCTGTGGCCCGGACCTGATGGTCCTCCTCCTCCTCCTCCTCCTCGTCACCCCCCTCCTCGTCGCTCCGCCTCCTCCACGTGGCGCGCGCCGATCCACAAGAGTGAGGATGTCACTTGCGGCTTGCCTCGGGAAGGCAGCGTGCCAAAGTGGCGCCGCTGGCCCGCCCATCACTAATTACACCCTCTCCGCCATCTCGGGGACAGCGTGCACCGGCTAGTCTCGGGCCGGGCGAAAGGGGGGCATAGCAAAAGGGGGGGTTTGAGAACCAGCTCGCGTAGCTGACTTTCCCGGCGCCTCCCGGCGCCGGGAGGCGCCCATGTATCGAAGAATGGACCCGGCGGCGGGGTCGCAACCAGCTGCATGCAGCAGATTTCGTCACCCCCCCTTTCCCGAATGGAGGATGACGATTAATAAATGACCGGGGGTCGTGTTCACGCGGCGGCGCCCGGGATGACGATTAGAAAAAACCGGCCGCGGGCTGGAAAACTATGTTTTAAATCGATCTCCTCCAGTCATCAGAAGATTGTGCAGAAATAACAGAAAACTATGTTCTAATCGTTCTCTCTCATTTTTTTAATTAATCGTCATCCCGCATTAGCAGGGGGATAGCGTGCATAGAAGGGCCCTCTCGTGGGGATCGTCTCACAGGCATAGCATGCCTTTCGGAGATCGATGTTGCACGCTGTCTTTCCAGAGCCAACCGTAAGGACGCAAGACCTTGGACCAACCATGTTGACACAGTCGCAGCGGGATCAGGCCGAAGACCCGTGGATCCATGGCCAAGGTTGTACCGAAGAGGCGAGGATGCAAGAGCAGCTTTGATGAAGCACCGTGCCCTGACGGCTGATCTTCAGGAATGGAGAAATTAGCACAGACATCAATGAGCGTCGGTCCCCATGAAAATATTGGAACAGATGGGAAGTGGAGGGTGAAGACGACAACCCAGAAGATATAGGACAATATTGAAATCTTGGCATGTGTGCCCATCTATTTGTGTCTCCCTACGCCCCTTCCACTGCAATCCCCCTCCTCCGCCTTCCAGGCGGTGGCCGACCTGCGCGGCGGGTCCTGGAGCGATGACTCCTGGGCGATGCGTCACGCCTGCTGGCGTCCGAGACCCACCATATGAGCGACGCCCCATACCGGCATCGTGTTCACCGACATTGGCACGTAAGCTGCCTGCGTAATGTCGCGCGTAAGCGCCCTCGTCTCCGATGTGGAGTGCCGCGGCGGCGGCCCGCGTAAGCCGCGGCATAAGGTCGCTACGTCATCTCGCGTGACACCCGGGAGAGGGCGGATGGCACTGGGCTGGAACGAAGATGATTATGAGGAGGCGACGACGCCTTCTCCTGGACCCCCCTCCCAAAACCCGCCGATACCTTCTGGAGCCCTCCCCCCTCCTCCTCCCTAGGGGGGGGAGAAGAAGGAAGGGAGGAAGAGGAACAGGAAGAGGAGGAGGATGAAGAAGAGGAAGAGGAGGAGGAGGAGGAGGAGGAGGAGAAAGGGGGAGAAGAGGGAGAAGAGGAGGAGTATAAGGAGGGGTAAGAAGAGGAGCAGGAAGAGGAGGGGAAGGAGGAGGAGGAGGAGGAGGAGGAGAAGGAGGAGGCTTCAACGCGCGTTCCAGTGAAATCAGGAGGGGAGGAGGAGGAGGAGGAGGAGGAGGAGGAGGAGGAGAGGAGGAGGAGAGGAGGAGGAGGAGAGGCGGAGGCGGAGGCGGAGGCGGAGGCGGAGGAGGAGGAGGAATAGGAGGAGGAGGAGGAGGAGGAGGAGGAGGAGGAGGAGGAGGAGGAGGAGGAGGAGAGGGATGAGGAGGGGGAGGATAGGAGGTTGGCCGAAGTCGGGGGATTGAGGCAGGGGGCACTCACGCTCCGCAGACCGTGCCAACCAAGCGTTGACTCAGGAGGCCGCGATGTCGTTCTGTCACTCATCACGCTTCTTACCAGCCTCCTTGGTACAGGAGGCAGAGGGCAAGACGAACGCTCTCACGTGCCATTTGTCTGATCTGGAAGGCCAAACAAACCCTGAGCCAGCACCACGCAAGCCCAAAGAAAAACAATGCCGCACAGGGAAGTAAATGGGTATGCCAATGCGGACAGCATGTCGGCCCGTGGCATTGGTTTTGCAAATGTCGCAAGAGTGCAGACGGCGAAATACAGGCTCAATCAGGACAGGCTGGCGAATTCGTACGCACATCAAGAATGATACAAGTAGGCACCTCCCACTTCCGAGGATCAGTACGTCAATGCCGCAGAACGCGTCACGTGCAGGATGTTCACATTAGCCAAATTGCGGTTGCAGCCAGACAAGCAGACACGTCACATGCACCAGAGTCCGAGGAGATTGCGACGCTCTCATGTTGCCGTTCGTTGTTCAAGCCTCTTGGTCAGCAATTGGCATAAGCAAAACATACAGTTGCGAATAGAACAGAAGTCCCAGAACACCACAAACAAAAGGAGGGAGCTCAAACTGTTCGCCCAGACTAAACGAACATATTGCGGAGTCCAGCAGCGTTGTGCACGATTTGGAGCAGAGCTTGGCAGAGGAGGACTGGCATCAGCAGGGTACGGTCCGCGTAGCGCCGCAGGCGCAAGATGCACAACCAGACGCGCCGTTTAGTCTTTTACGCGACAGTGGCCAAGGCAGCGGAAAGAGCGGCAAAGGCTTCCAGGGCAAACGACCGTTGAGGAAACAATCTGGCAGCACCTCCATTCCCCTCATGCTGAGCCGCCAGGATCAAATGGACAAGCGGATCTTGAGTTCCCAGCAAGACATGATGACGTAGTACATGGGAAAAGGTGGCGCGAACCCAAATGGAGTCGCGGGTTTTTTCTCAGGGCCTGCCCCAGCTGCAGGCGGGCCCACCGCGGCAACAGGTGACAGCATGCCCAACCAAGGATAGGACGCCAGCGTTTCCAACCACGGGTGGGGCGCCAGTATTCCTAATTATGGGTGGCAAGAGCAGTGGGCTTCCAGTATCTCTGACCTCGGGTGGGTCGCCAGTATTTCCAGCAGTGGGTGGCACAGGCCGTGGGCCCATGGGCCCCCCTCCGCAGATGCCATGGTAAATGAGGCAAGCAGATCCAACGCCGCCAACGGGCACCACAGACACGACCGCTTCCGATTGGACAGTCTCAGATCGAGCGCGCAGCGCGATCTGAGACATCCCGCGCCTGCACCTCAAGACGTCATGGCCCAAGCGACGGTGATTGCGGCGCAAGGACTCGAGGCGGCATTGAAGGAAGCTGCACCAAGGGCACCGACACTGACGCGGATGCGACGCCTAACTTCTCCCGATAATCACGTCGGGCATATTCCCAGCGAGCTGTTGGAGCCCATTCAAGCAGTTTCGAAGACGCAAACAGAGCAGGCACCTGGACCGCTTTCAGCAACGGACCCGATCGTGATCGATCCACCCCCAGAAGTTGCCAGACAGGAAGGAGGGGCCAAGTCGAGGCTAGCCGAGGCTTCGACAGGACTTCCACCTCCCCGGAAGAGTGCGACGCTGCCCAGCGACATGCAGGAACTGCGAGTGTCTTAGGAGATCCAGGCGACCAAGCGATATGTCGGGCCCCCGGCGGCGATACGCGCGCAGCTCACGGTCTGCCCCAGGGCGGGGCTTGGCCGCGCACCGGACCTGCACTAAACGCACCGACGGCAACTTCCGCGCCATCGGCGACGGGCGCCTCACGCGGGCCACCTCGGGCCGCGGGGGACCTTGAGGGGGGGGGCCAGGCAGAGCGCCCCCCCTGCGTCAGCTGCGGAGTCGTTCGGGCCAGCGCACGTCGACGCCTCCTTTTCTTTTGCTGTCTTCGAACGAGGGCCGACGCAATCCGGCTGCGCGTTCTATTTTGAGAAGGCAAACGGGCCCAGCGGCAAGTTTCGCAGCTTTGCGCGTCCGCCGAGGGCGAACAACCCGACGGGGGCGCGAGAGGAGGCGAGGCAGACAGCTCGAGGCGCGACCCCCCTGGCGCACGCAGCGGCGCAGGCACGCGCGGCGTGCGAGGGGCGGCCCCCCTTGCTGAGCATCCAGGCCCTCCGCCGACATCGAAGAGGCCTCAGCCTAGTTTTAGCCGTCAACCCTCTCGCGACACCGCGGGTCCTTTGGCCCGCGGGGGCCTCCGCCCCCGCCCGATTGACGCCGGCCATGGGAGGTCGAGGCATCCTCGCGTCAATCTCGCAACTGGCGCCATCGCGACATAATGCAATTTCCCTGCCCGGCCTCCACTGCGCGACGTTCTAGGAGCTCAGCCGACGCCAGGGCGCGAGGACCTCGCCGCGCCAGATGGAGCGCGCAGGACAGGATTCTTGGAGGACGAAGCTCGGCCAGGACTTCAGTTGCGCCCACGGCGCGCGGCGCCGCGCCGCAGACCCCGCCGCCGCGCGGGCGGCCCTGCCTTTGCTGCGGGGGGCGGGGCGGGGGGGGGCACGCGCAGCGGCTGCTTTAGCGCAAGATGGCGATGGGCCCGCGTGCCGGGGCGCGCCGAGGGGGCAGATGTCAAGCGCCGATGGCACGGCGCATGGGCCCGAGTCCAACGCCAGTGCCGCGCCAGAAGTTCCCGCAGTAATTTGGGCGCTCTTCTGGCCAGTGGCAGCTCGACCGCGCTGCCGAGCATTCCTTTCCGACACTGCGCTCGCCTGGGGGGGGCGCGTTTGTTTTTTTCTGGGGGGGGGGGGGGGGGGGGGGGGGGGGGGGGGGGGCCCGGCCCGTGGCTGATATCCAGCCCGCGGGGGGGCCTTGCGGGTGCGTTCAAGTACGTTGCTGCCCAAGCGCAGGCGCATCTTCCTCGCGTCAAGACCTACGCGGGCCACCCCTGGAACTGCCCCGCGGACAACGCTGCCGGAGCGACTGCCCAGGCCAGCTGCCACTTCCTCCCGACATGAGCCCTGCACTCGCAAGGGCAGCGCGCGCTGCCCCATCCAGACAGCGGGAACTGCCGCTAGGGCAGGGGCCCGATGCCGAGGCGCACCCCGCGCTTAGCACCAGGCTTGGACGATAGAAGCCGTTTTGGCCTTCCTGCCAGATTTGTTGTTGCGCGCAGAGGGCCGCCAAGCGTCGCGCGAGCAATTTGACGCGATTGAAATCAAAGTCGCTGCGCGGATCAAGGCCGGCACTGCCAGCCCGCAGTCAGCCCGCGAAGAGCGCGGCCCGCGGTCGCCGGAGGTTTCATGGGCTCAACGTAGCCATACCTATACGACCACCCTTCGGGTGATAAGGAGGTTCGGGGGGGGAGCGAACCAACGTCTCACTCGATCGGTCTCATTATCGATCTCACTATCGATCTCAGTATCGGTCTCGCTCGATCGATCTTCCTCGATCGATCTCACAACCGATCTCACTCGATCTATCGCACAATTGATCTGACTATCGATCTCGCAATCGATCTCACAATCGATCTCACAATCGATATCACATTCGGTCTCACTATCGAGCTCACTATCGATATCACAACCACTCTCACAATCAACGTCATCATCATCATCACCAACAACAGCAGCATCAACATCAACATCATCATCACCAACATCATCATAATCGGTACACCGTCCTCATCATCAGCACCAACATCATCATCATCATCATCACGGTCATCATCATCATCGGGACACCACCATCATCATCATCATCACCATCATCACAGTCATCATCATCAACATCAGCATCATCAGCAGCATCGGGACACAGTCATCGTCATCATCATCAGCAGCAGCCTCATCATCGGAACACCATCATGATCATCTCATTCTCATCACCGGCATCATCATCATCAGCATCATCAACATCATCATCAGCGTCATCATCATCGTCATCATCTGGGCACCATCATCATCATTACCAACATCAGCATCAACATCATCATCATCACCATCGGGACGCCATCATCATCAACATCATCATCATCACCATCAGAATAAACATCATCATCGGGGCGCCATAATCATCATCAACCTTATCATCATCAACATCATCATCATCGGGACACAATCATAATCAGCATCATCAACATCAACATCATCATACTCATCATCACCGGGACACCATCATCGTCATCATCATGATCATCAACATAATCAGCATGATCATCATCATCCTCAT